GATTGCTGGGTGCATGTGCCACCACCTCCATTCATCGCGTATAATCGTTGGGTCGTTCGTGTAGTTTGGTCGTTATGAATTCATTGGGAGTTGGCCGCAAATGTTTTATGTTGGTGACATGTTTCTAAATTGCGTGAACTCAAGATGTTGAAAGTGTCAGGTATTCATCATTTTGGCGAGTTGTTGGTCATTAGATTATGAACTATAAATTATTGATTAAGTATTAAAAGTTAGGAATCATGCATTGTTCGGAATTAAATTTTTTTATTAACGATTCATGAATTATAAATTTTCAACAAAGAGGTACTAATTGTAAATAAACTGTTACGAGTCAGAATACATTTTTATATTATCTGTGACAACTCTATGAACTAGGATGGATGTCTACTGGTGACCAACAAATGTCGAGTCAATTTATTTTCGTTCCTCTAGCTAGTTTATATCACATCTGTCACGTTTTCTTAAAAATATTAAGTGACATGGAATAGTCATACCCATAAAGCCAAATTCCCATCCCATAGAAACTCTCAACCAAATACTCTGATTTCAGTTTGTAGCTTATCCAAAAAATACACCATCAGTTAGGATCTTCCTCTAGAACCCATATAAGAGATATACAGATTTATGTCGGTATGAATATCTTTAAAATCTCAGACAATAAGTGTATTAATTTAATTAAACCAAGGGTGTTTATTACCCTTACCATAAAGAAACTAGTACACAACTGTGAGATACACTGTAACTGTCAAATCAGCTATCAAAGTAAGCAAATGTGTTCGGCATTTACCCTCACTGTGCAAACTACTTTGTAAAGCCAAACCTAATAATAGTGATTGAATTTGATATATTTGTATTATATATATATTCATTTATTCACAAATTCCTCTCTTGTTACGGGTTCATATGAAGATTTATATGTAAAAGAACTCTAATATTAATATTGAAACCCTCGATAATAGTATATTGTTGTGTATAAAGTGGGTTGGATCGGATTAATACTTCCTTTAATATACAATTTTGCCAACACCTAAAGTAATTTCCCAGGTTTTGATCCTTGCAAGTTGCGAGAGTATAAAATGTTCGGTTAAAACCGAACTTTGAACTTCCTTACTTGTTGTATTTGTTTTTTGTTATTGAACTTGCGCTTGACATTGCCACAAGATACTTTCGGACGAAACTATGTCAACAGAGTATCAAATGTGATGGCAAACCGCAGCTATGGCAAAGAGAGAAGCAACAACAGCTGCAGCGGGCGTCAACAGTAGCGACAATAAGTGCAGTGCTAACACAGTAGCCGCCTTCGTTAGCACCTCTGACCGCTGCAACCGCAAATAAAAAAAATACTGGCAGTATATGGGTGCATTATATTGTTGTTGCTGCTGTGGCAACAATTTTTATTACTAGATTCCGTTCCGTTTGTTTTCTTAATTTTAATAACTAACGTTCCCGGTAGAGAAATTATCCTAAATATACCGTTGAAGCGAAGTGCTGGCTAACTCCTGAAATAGCGGGCATCTCGGGTTGCAATTCTTAAACCCGCATCTTCGGGAAGATTCGTAATAAAGAGTACAGCCGTTAAAGTTGTACGCGTCGGGTGCACACTTGATGAAGACACGTTCCACGATAGACGGGAGCACGTAATCGGAAAGGAACTAGAATTACATCCGGCAAATAACAAGTATGAACAATTTACAATAATAACAACAACATAGCCACATCTCAAATTGTACAAGCAGAAAGCGTACACGTTTCTACCACAACTTTCAACAGCAGCGCCATCTAGCGTAGCTATTAATATTAGTTTTATTCGTAGAACTAGCGCCTTGCGTTTTTTTTCCACCAGGGTGCATTTTCGGTTTAACCACGATAATATACATATTTGCGGATATTAAAAATATCAATTGAGTTACTTTGCGGTTGCATGCAACATGTTGCATTCACACAAACGCTACAAAAGCTCTTATATATGTATGTATTGTAAAAAGTCTTAAAGATTTAGAGTATTGGAGTTTTGCAGCCGTGCAGTCATATTTTGCATCTTGATACTCATAAGTATGCCATAAAGTATTCGTATGGGGCATGCCGCATGCGTATATTTTGTGCTGTTGCAACCGAGAATAACAAAAACAGCAAAGCAACACGCGTGCAATAACAACAATACCTAACCGGGTCGTTTACGGTGTAAAAACGAGATAAATAAAAGTCACTATAAATATGTATTACTCTAGTAATGGGGACAAATGTTGTTCTTGTAAAAATGTAAATAGAGATTACAGTAAATAAATCAAAGTTTGATATTATTACATTTACGATAACCTATTTGTCTTCGATTTGACTAATTAGTAACTTTTGGCATACATTTTCTTTTAAAAGTCAATGGACTAATATATATTTAATAAAGTATCTGTATTTAATGAAGTATATGTATATGCGTACATAAACATACATTACATTTATGCCGTAGCACTCAAGGGAGGTTGGTATTGTAACATATATATATAGATGGATTCGAACTATAATATTTCCACGCTCACCAAATGCCTATATCGGTTGTGTCTATTACCTAAAACTAATTGAGTTAGATATAGGGTTACATATATATACAAGTATGTAAATAAATGATCAAGACGAGGAAAAATTAAGATATCTTGTTGAAACTTGGCACACATGTTCGAGTTCGTAGATTCCACGCCAACAAAACGCCATTATAGCCATAAGCAGCCAAATTTGGCACAACGAATCACATTATGTAGGGTTTTCGAATTAAAAATTTGTAGAAAAGGGGCGTTGCACCGCCCTTAATAAGTTTAATATATATATCTTCCAAACTAATAAAGTTATATCCCCCAAATTTGCACACAGCAAATATTTTCATCCCTTCTTACGAAAACTTGAAACTAGATGAAATAGGATGATTCCGATCCTCTGATTGACGTTTTCCACATTAACTCACTATACTCGCATATTAAATTTATCCTCTTCGATCGAGTTGCTATCACATATATATGTGTTTTTAATGTAATTTAGCTGACGCGAACTAAAATATAGAAAGAATAAATTAAGTCTAAGTTATTGATATACAATGTAATGTATCAACAATTCTTAATATAAAGGTTTGCCAGCACCTGAAATACTTAGATTCTTGCAAGTTGCAAGAGTATAAAATGGTCGGTTACACCCGAACTTAGCACTTCCTTACTTGTTTTTTACAAGTTCGCATATGTATATATATGGACTGCGAAAACTATTAACGCCATTAAATCCTTTGCAAGTAAAAGAAAACATCAAATCATGTTGACATTTGAAGTTTAGAAGTACCGTGGGTAAATATAAATACATACATAAGAAAATTAAGCAAACACTCATTTTTGATAAATAGTTATAGTCTAACAAAGCTAAAAAGTAAGGAACACTTTATTTTGTATTCCGCCGAACATTATATACCTTTAAATTTTTTTAAAATTCATGGCCTAGAAATATTTTCGGGTGTCTGCCTTATATTCGAAGAATCCATTTGTAGACGAATCTATAGCAGTGGTGCATACACGGTTCGTTTCAGGTTTTAAATAAACAAGATCCAAAATTTTGATCTTCAAATATTTCGAAGTACTAGTTATCCGATATTTCTAGAGACGTACATTTTAAAAATAAGTAATAGAATGCAATACAGCAGCTATAATTGAAACAGTTGATTATTGGATTCTGAATCTCCGGTCATTAAAGAGTCTTCTAAAGAAAAAGCCTTTAGTAAGTGATCAATGAAGCTGTGTATCATTCTGTAAATAAAATAGCTATTTATGTAGGTTTGTTTGTTCACACAATACTAATAAATAATAACGCAAAGAGAAGAAAATCCAAAACAATTGATAACTGTGATTAGTGCTACAGTAGCTTCAATGAGCATGGGAATCTACATAGCTAACTGCCCCAAAGATCTCTCTTAAATAAACCTATCCTAATCTTCTATCGCATATCAATAGAGCTTTTCAGTTTCAGCGGTTTGAAAATATATTCGTCTGGAGAGAACTTAAGGTATAGAAGGTGCGGGACTGATCCTCGTTATATATATATATATATATCGAGATATCGATATATTTCTAGGTATTTATGCAAATGAATCGACGAAACTCTTTGAGGATATCTGATGAGGTGGCTAATATTGATTTTAGTAAATACGTTAGGTTCTCCGAAGCTGTAACATCCAAGATGTTTCATTCTCAATGTACCGACAGCTGGACAGTCGGAGAAAGTATGGAGATGTTTCCATATCGACTTAATTCAGGCAATTTTGACAATTGGTTCCGGTCAAGATCATTAACAGTAACTCATCATGGAATATTAAGGAATAGATTAAATCAAAATAATGAGCTCTTAGAGTATAGAGCAATGAGCTGAATAAGCTTTAAATAAATATTGTTCATAATTTTGCGCGGTATGGATATGAGCTCGACAGTTCTAAAAGGTAAGCAAAAAGGCGAAATATCCTTGTTCAAACATCCTGGCGCTAAATTGTCGAGACCATTAACTACCAAAGTCCTAATAAAGTATTTTAACGAGCTCCAAAATTATTATATAAGGGCCATTGAGCTCTTGTAAGCATAGACCAAGGGTGTAACAAAAAATCGTACAATTTTATTGACACAAAAATATCCATCTAACGAGATATAAGAAATTTGTATATCGCGCTGATAGAAAGTTCCTTAATGAAAAATTTTCATAAACTTATTGATCTACCCTCGTATTCCAGAGCGCAGTCGACCCTTTTTAAATGTCCCTTCTTATAATTGATTGCAAGGGTAATTAACTTCACAAATAGACACACATAGAATGCAGCGACATAAAGGGACAAAGTGTCGAATCATGTATTTTTTATTAAGTACCGCCAACAAATGAATTACCTGTATAAATAAATAATTTGAAAAAGATATCGAGCATATATATGATTTTGAATTCTACAAGCGACAAAGCGCTGTCATAATTGGCTGCACCATCGGTTTAGCATGTTGTATCGACTGGTACGAGAAATTTGCTTCATTAGCTCGTTTTTTTTAGTGGTAACGAATGCAAAGTTTCAAAACTATTTCGAACACTTTCCGGTTTTACAACCTGATACCGCGAATTTCTCTCGTGGCATCAAGGTACTTATTGAGCGCATACAAACGGAGGATATATTCATTAGTTACTTTCTTCAAAGAAAACATCCAGCTGATTGTGTGGATAAAGATTTACCAGTCCATTTTGAACTACCCTTTCTACAGCTGAATGGGAGAAACCATGTGTATATACGGGGAACTGGCAATAGCTACTTGATGGCAATATTATGCATCCGACAACTCATCGATAAGGATTTTTTGCTAAAATTTGCTAAAAACTTGCAACACATACGTACCCGACGCATACTGGTCATACACAATAGCAAACTCGCGGCGAGTACTCAATCGGAAATCGAGACGTTTTTAAATTACTGCATGCAATTCAATTTTCTGAATGTTATACTTGTACATCGCGATTTCACTGAGACAACCATCTTTCATTCGCTGAATCAATTCCCCGATTTCAAATTAGAAACTCGTGATCTTCGTACCAACTCGCCAATCTATCCGAATCGCTTGGCAGATGTCGCCAAAAAGAAATTGAGAGTATTAGCCGATCAAATAGAGCCGATAACCATGTTGTACGAAATCGGCGATGCCCTCATCTTAGAAGGCTACATCGGCTATTTCGTGAAAACATTTGCCCGGAAATATAATTTTAATCTGTGGTTACCTACTATATATGAAGGAACTGTTGGGCGTGTTGTTTCTATGGAAGAGATACGTCAGGCAGCACATAACGGTTCAATCGATGTGGGCGCGAGCTTATCAACACCGCAGAAGGAGACAAACTTACATGAGTACATCTATCCGATGGAGTTTTTTCAGTGGTTAACCATGCTGCCGATAGAGCCACCCTTGGAAACATATTATTTTTTCATCTCCATCTTTAGTCCAACATCTTTAGTTGGTATATTTTTGTTCTCTTATTGCGTATGCGTTCTTTATCGTTTGCAGTTGAAATTGCGACGTAAAACTTTATATTGGAATCGTGCTTTATTGTTGTTATTTTTAATACCGTGGCATCTGGACTTACTGCGCGGTCTACTGAATCAATCTACAGCTATGCGCTTGAACTCCGCTACTCGGCGTGTAATTTTCATACTTGTTTTTGCGCTCGGTGGTACTTTAAATAATTTTTTCTCCGCAAAAATGGTGAACTGGTTAACTGTGCCGCCACAGGAAACACCAATTGAAACTTTTGATGATGTTGCTGAGCGCAATCTACAAATACAAATTCCAGAACCCGATATAGCTGAGATTAAATTCTATTGTGGTGAAACGTTTTGGAATCAACATAAGCGCATATTCCATATAGTGAAGTCCGTAGATGAGGTCCAGGAGAGTATACGTAAGATGAACACAAGCTACGGCTATTTAATAAACACTTTGGCATGGCCGATAATCGAACAACGTCAAAAATATTTTAAAAATCCCTTATTCCGTCTATCGAATAGTCTTTATTATACCAAGGGGTCGTTACTAAGTCTACCGATAAGTGAGAATTCCATGTACAAAGATCTATTAAGTCTTTACAGCTTGCGTTCACGTGAATCGGGCCTATTAGATTATTGGTATTAAAGAACATTCTACACAATGATCTCTATTGGGCGTTTCAATCTTACAGATCTCAGTAAGAATTATAGACATGAAGTACTGACCTTGAAGGAGTTCGAATGGGTTTGGATCATCTATAGTATTGGTGTAGGCGTGAGCATTTTGGCTTTTACTTTCGAATGGATTTGCTATAAGTACAGTAAATACATTTTAGAGCACGCCTAATGTGAAACCGAAATACATTTCTAAACGAACACAAATTTTATTATAAAGATTTATCACTTAAAATAATTTAAGTTTTTGAGTGTAACTTTATTTAACTACTTGTAATATAAATGTGCAAAATTAAAATTTAATGTGAAAACCAGTGTCGCGATCAAAAATTATAGGGATATCCCAGCAAACCGTTGTAATACCAACGTGACGCTGTAGCTATATCTCTTTTATTCTGCATCTTAGAATTTTAGGTATATTTGAGAGCCCATGATCCATTTTCAGACCCTTCATCTATTTTGAACTCGTGAAAAGATTTTATGTTTTAGTTAATTTTGCGAGCTGCCTTAAGGTTTTGTGGCAAATATCTATATAATATTTACGTCAATTGCGAACAAAATAATTGCGTTAGACTTGGCTATAATTGCAGAAACTTTTGCTTAGTCAATCAAGTGGGAGAACGGGAATCTTAAATATTTTTACAGGTCCCATCTCCAAAACCTGTTACGCAATCTTTCTAGTGAACCAGTTAAATTGCTTGCCATAAAATTTTCAGTTGTGTGGAGAAGCAGCTGCACCGTCACTAAGCGATAAGAAACTATCGAAGTTAAAAGTGAGCAAATTGATTGCGAAAAGGAGACATATATTTCAAAGTTATACTTCTCAGTTGCGAGGTTAGCTCAAAATGTGTTACAAATAGCATATGCCAGTTAATAATACATAATTGCCATCGTTCATTCTCCGCTGCTCTATTCGCATTAAGCTCTGGTTTCTGGTAAAGAACTTGTAAATTCAATAATACAGTTGTTCAGTTAAATACAATGCAAGATACAAGAGAAAGATGGATAACACATTAAACTGGTATAACCGCGTGCTAATATATGTGTTATTAATTATACCAATTTATTTGGTTTACATCAGTTGCTTGTTCGATTTGATTTTTCATAACTGCACCTGAAATATTATTCCAAATTCATTTTTCTAATCATTATTATCAAAAAGTTTATTCGTATTTTATTTAGAGACACCAATAACATTAAATTATTTAAACTACCTGCGCTTGTAACAGGCTCTTCCCACAAAATGTCAATATAAATTTGTAAGGGCTTAACTGGCTCTTTTGTGCTAAACATGTTCGATTTTGACAATGTGTTGAACAAATAAATTTGCAACCTTGCGGTTTTCAGCAACAACAATAAAACCCACTTTGTACTACAATCTTCAGAAGGCATGACTAGCAAACATAACATAAGAATAAGTGACACGAAAGGAAAACGCATCTTGTTAAACACACTCACATACTCGTACATACTTGCACACATATGTAATGAATTGACAATTTATACAGCGCTTGTGACATTGTGACGCTTCGCCGAGATACACACACGCTGCAGCATTGCAACACATAATTCCCATGTCCGCATTGAGATCTTTCAACGGCTTCCAGTAGCCACCGTCAGTGCGAAGGTGAATGTGTACGTGGCAATCGGCGGTTGGTAACCCCCGCTGTGGCATTCCGTATTCGCAACTTGCAACAACAGGTTACCTACCAAAGTAGTGGTGGTGGTGGTGATTTATGACACTTGTCCAAATTGGCATTGCCAATGTTATTGCCATTGTTGTATGCCCCTGCTGTTTACTTTCCACCGATCTGTCGATCTGTTGTCCCGTTAGGTATATTTGCAAATTAACAAATCTTTGTGTGCAAAAACAAATGACAGAACGTGGAACTGTTCACAAAATAGTATACACACACATACATATATGAGGATATATGTATGTGCGTGTGTGGTAGCTGCTACCGTCAATTTATGGCTGCCACAAACGGATTGAGGTTCAACTATTCTCAAAGAACCAAAACGGACACCCGCAGCGCGAGAAGTGTCGCAATAGTGATGGCGGCTGTTCTCGCTTTGATGTCAATATCAAAATTGGCAACAACAAAAACTAAGATTTGAGAGATTACAGCAAATCTACATAATAACATATATTCCTATTTTTGTGCTGTGCTGCCTTGCCTCGCTTATCGGTAAAATATTTTCTTTGCGAAAATATATGTCAGTGCAAAACCAAAGATGGAGAGTAACAATGGTTTGATTGGTTAATTGTCAACGCAAAAAACTCGTATGATCCCACGAAAGTTGATTCTATGTTACTAGCACTAATTTATTTCTGACCAAAAATCGTAATCTCCTCCTTTACCTCCAAGAGCAGAATGTGAGAAATAACATTTTGTTTCCTTTTTTAAGAACAGCACTTCAATATTTTTATGCCAAGTTTTACTATATACCTCCACGAAAACAGACATGACCAAAAAGAGTCTAAGAGAAGGGACGCAAAGCAAAAATACTTTGTGACGTTTGCGAATTCAATCCAATTTTACAGCATAGTCGACCATATCTCGCCAATAACCGCCGGATATTGGTCTCGTACTCATCAGTCGTAGCTGGTTTATCTGAATAGGTCATTAACTTGACACACAATTCTACGAAAGGTTGACCTAACCACCTAAGTAGCGTAATGACTATTCCTTAATAGAGTTCGAATACGAACAGTTCTTCCTTATATAATGTGTAGGTTTAGCACCTAAGTTAGAAAGAAGTTGCAAAAAGTTTGAAAAAATTATCTCTAGGGTTCACAATTATCCGACGACTACCTCCTTCTACACTTCGGATATTTACCAATACGACCTTCAACATGTAGATCGCATCAGACTGTAACTATTTCGATTGACAGAAAGCCTAGATAGACTGGATATTTGGATCTACAAGTATTGAAAGTTTGTCCCAGAGAAAATTAGTTTTGGAAATAAAGGTTCTCAAATTTTAAATAATTTTTCGATATAAATACAAGGCAATGCAGCTCTCAACCCTATCAGCTTTGACAGAAGGATTTTTGACCGACCACAAAAACATTACAAGGAGAAACATGCTCATTTGGGTTAATGAAGATTTGAAATAAAAAGAACAAGTCTATCTATACATTTTTGGGTCTAGCTATACAATGGGTTGCATAAAGTGAATTCTGAAAGATCTCTCTTTTTTTTTCTTAAAAATAAGTTAAAACATTGGGAGATTTATGGTACATAACCCCATAATATTATCATACCGCATGCCTCCCACAATATTTTGCAATACTACAATATTTAGTTTAGGGTTACTGCTCGAATTCGAAGTAAACTTAGGCACACTAAAAATGATAAAAAAGCTCTCAATTTTCCAGAACTGCCAATATATTAAATATTTATTTGCTTCTGAAAAAATTGTATAAGCAGCCTTTAAAAGAGTACACAGGGATTAGTCTCTATGTATA